ATTGTTGTAGTCGCCAGTAAATGGCACTCTGTTATCTGAAATGTGGTGCTCCTGGAATGTGCCTGCTGGAGATGCTAGAACACCCTCCATGCTGCCTCTCAACAGTAAATGCCAGCACTATGCTGGTGGCAGTGACATGATTCTATGCCAGAATCATGTCACTGCCACCAATCAGAATCAGACCTGCTTTGAAAGGTTGAATGTGATTGGTGTTGCAGAGAGCAGTAGTTACTCAGGAATTGCATTCCGATTGGTCATGTGAAGAGGTGTGTATGGCTGTTCTGCAGGGGATTGGATAAGGTTGAACTGAGTTTCTGACGTTAAAGTGATATTAAAGTTTTTTGAAGCTATTTGAATTGCTGATAAAATCACTTACAATGGACGCTGCTCCTTGATGGTTAAATGTTTTAGTTTCCTGCAGAATCAGCCGGTCCCCTGAGCACTGGATCTGACATCCTGTTTTAGGGCCCTGTCACACCATCAAGAGTGCGTTCCAGTGCGTCTGGTGCAGATCACATCGCACCGCCACGCCCACTCCAAAACAAAAGTGAGCCAGCCATGGTGCGTTCCAGAGGCCGAACGCACTCTTGATGGTGTGACTGGGCCCTCAGGGTGGCTTTGTAACCTTGCAGGGTCCTATGGAGCCATTAGCTATGTGTGCTAGTAAGCTGTGTATGTCTCCACAAACACACGTACACAGCAAGCCACGCCATTCCCCACCCACCTGCTCCCCTTTCCTTCTTCCTCCTCCCTGCTCCAGTCTAGTCTATATGCAGCTGCTGGAGACTGGTCCCTAATGATCTTATACTGGACAGGAAGTTCAGGGAAGTGGCGCTGTTTGGCAATATGGTGACTGTAAGTGCTTTGGTAATATTGTAAAGAAATACTTGCTGGGCAATGTATATTTGTTTGATGTGGATTAATTATTGAAAAAAAAAATCAGCGTTTAATATTACTTTAAAGTATACGTCAAGCCAAAACTTGTTTTCTAATTTTGGGGAAGGATTGGAACTCCTGTCAGTTTTTTGTTTGCTATCTGGGGCTCTGTTAGAGAGATTTACCCTCACTTCCTGTCCTACTGACAAGAGTTGTACCAGACAGGACTTTCCACTTTTGCAGACCAATTTGAGAAAACCCCTTGATATGTTTGTGTTCCCACTCACACAGCATAAAGAAAAATCACTTTTATTAAATATTTCGTATTTTTTAGATGTTTGCAAGCTTCTCTCTCAATTTCCAGTTGACAGGAAATTCTGTATGTCCCCATAGAAAGACTGAGGGACAGACGCAGCTTCCCTTCATTAACATGCAATGCTTCTAAATCTTTAACCCTTTGTTAGGGCATATGGTGTTCAAATCCACTTTAAAATAATAATGAGATCGGCCAGTACAGACAGGGTTAATTATGGCAACATGAGCCCCCTTTATATTGCATAATCGCAGTACAAAGAACAGTTTAAAGTTTATATTGTGCAAGCAATTTTAAAAAAAAAGGCTATGTGAATGAGAAACCTAAGAGATATAATAGAAGTGTTATCACAATTTGGCTGCAAAAGTCCACATACACCTCAAAGGAGACGGAAAACATAAAAAAAGAGTGCACCTCTACATTGTAAAAAGCTTTATTAAAGGAGAACTATGGGGTTAAGGCTTTTCCCCATAGTTCTCCTTAGGGTAACAGGAGGACACAAACTAGCGTCCTCCTGTCACCCTAGCCTCAGTATACCGCGAGCTGTAGCTCGTGGTATACTGAGACGCTGAAGCGGATCCCGGCAATTGTGCCGGGATCCGCCCAGCTGCGTGACTGACAGCTGGCTCTGCCTATCTAGAGGCAGAGCCAGCTGTACCCGCCCCCTCCCCGTCCGTTCCGCCAGTCAGCGTTGGCGGAGCGGGGAGGGGGGAATCCAGCCCCTGTCACGGCAGAGAGCCGTGACAGGATCGAGAGGTGAGCGAACGCCGGTACGTGTTCGCCCACCTCCCGATCTACTGAGCCGACCTGTGACAGTCTCATTGTCACAGGTCGGCTAGAACTATGAGGTGAGTGAAAAGCACTCACCTCATAGTTCTCCTTTTTAAGTGGAGATTAAAATCAAGAATGTTCTCACAAACAGCCAGTGTAAAACAAGCCTGTAGTAACAGGATCATCTGCGATGTGAAAGTGTCCAATGTCAGTCACAGCAGGAACATGCAGCCTGGAGCAAACATCCTACTGCTGGCATGGCAAACGGGTAACGCGTTTCTGGGGCGACGCCCCCTTCATCAGACTTCTGATTAGGTTTGCTTTTAATCTCATTCTTGCTTTTAATCTCCACTTAATAAAGCTTTCTACACTAGAGAGGCGCACTGTTTTTTATGTTTTCTGTGTGCTGCCCTCCTGAAGAGTCGCATTATATCTACCCTTTGAAAATGAACTTTGGCGCCAATGACTTTGTTTGAACCTTAGAGGAGAACTATATGAGGCGAGTGAAAATCACTCATCCACATAGTTCGAGCTGACGCGTGACAATGAAACTGTCACACATCGGCTCAATAGATCGGGAAGTGGGCGAACACATACCGTCGCTCGCTGACTTCTCGATCATCTCCCTGCAGAGAGCCATGACTGTCACTCGTGTCTCCCTGCAGGGATTCCCTCCCTCCTCGCTCCGATCCTCCAGCGCTGACTGGCGGAACGGACGGGGGAGGGGGCGGGTGCAGCTGACTCTGCCTCTAGATAGGTAGATGCTGTCAATCACGCAGCTGGGTGGATCTCGAGCTGTAGCTGTATACTGAGTTTTGAGTGACGGGAGGACGCTAGTTTGTGTCCTCCCGTGATGGCTGAGCCGTTGTGCCTTAGTTTCCGGAGAGGAGAGAGGGCGACCCCGAAAACTACGGACGGGGCATGCGGGCAAAAACGATCGCCGCTGTTCAAATTAATACAAGTGGTCTGATCAGACCACTTGTAGTAAACGAGCGGCGGCGGCTCCACAATGTACATTCAGCTCTGCTTGGCCGGAGCCGGGCTAAATGTACTTAAAAACTACTTGCCCGGCGGCCGAAACTGCATGCCGAAACTGCATGTCCCGGGCGTCAGGAATTCCACACGTGTGTGTGTGTGTATGTATGTGTATATATGTATATTTATATTTTTTATTTTTTTTTCTTCTGACGATATATATAGTCACACAGTTTCATTGTCACACGTCAGAAGAAAAAATATATATTAGACCAAAATGAGCACTTAACCCTTGCAGTGCTGGGGTTTAAAGGAGAACTATGAGTTGAGTGCTTTTCACTCACCTCATAGTTCTAGCCGACCTGTGACAATGAGACTGTCACAAGTCGGCTCAGTAGATCGAGAAGTGAGCGAACACATACCGGCGTTCGCTCACCTCTCGACCCTGTCACTGTTCTCTGCCGTGACAGTGGAGGGGCTGGATTCCCCTCTTCCCTGCTCCGATCCTCCAGCGCTGACTGGCAGGACGGACGGGGGAGGGGGCGGGCACAGCTGGCTCTGCCTCTAGATAGGCAGAGTCAGCTGTCACTCACGCAGCTGGGCAGATCCAGACATAATTGTTGGGATCCGATTCAGCTGCTGGATCTCAGTACCGTGGCTGTAGCTCGCGGTATACTGAGCTTAGGGTGTCGGGAGGACGCTAGTTTGCGTCCTCCCGTTACCCTAAGGAGAACCATTTGTTAGCACAGACAGTGTTGAAATCTAGTTTACAACTGATAATGAGATCTGATTTCACAGTACAGACAAAGTTAACTATGGAAAACATCAACTCCACACCTCAACTTCCCCTCTGTAGCTTTTTCTTCTCCTAATGTGCAAGTATACTTTAGGGCATACTTACCTTACCAGTGTGCCCTTCTCCTCCAATGCTGTGTACCCTTCTTCAGTCTTCAGCTCTATTCTCTGCCACTGCCAACACTTCCAGGTTCCCAGAAGTCCTCTTCTGCCATTGAGTGGCTATTGATGATGTAACATCTGCGCATGCACACTGGAGTTATGTCCTCCACAGCACCCGCCCATTCATGTCATCACAGAGATGATATGAATGGGCTGTGTGTGTATCCTGTACATCACATGTGCCATACAGTGTACACAGACAATAACAAATCACTGAGGAAGAGAGGAAGAATTGTTTTATTTGTGTCACTTTACTTCTGCTTTAGCTTTACATGGGGAGAAAGCATTTTTTAGTAAAAATGTGAACTCCAATTTTTTTTATATTTTTACGTTCTGTGTTAATGGGAACATTTAACAAATATTAAGTAGGTGTTCTCCCAATTTGGCTGTGAAAGGGGAAATACACTTTAAAGTGAGGCAATCATCATGACTTCCAGGCAGCTGGCATTTTAATAAAGAAGTCTGCAGCGGTAGTCCTCATATTAAGTCTGGGTTCACACTTAGATGACAGCGGTTTTGTGTGTTTCTATGCGCGTTTTTGGGCACGTTTCTATGCGCATACATCAGACTGAGCGTTTTTGCGAGCAGATTTTGGCTCATTAATGTGAATGAGCAAACCCACACAAAAACAGAGGTTTTCAAGTGTTTTTTATTTGGTCTATGGGGCCAAAACGAGCTGTAATATGCCAAAAACAAATCTGTACTTTTTCCAGCGACAGGCGTTTTGCTTGTTGCGCCAAAATTCTCAGATGTGAACAGGGCCATAGAAATGAATGGGATTTTTGGGGGAGCATATTTTTTGTGCGTCTTTTAGGGCAGAAAAAGCGCTACAAAACGGTCAGTGTGAACCAGGCCTTAAGGTACAGCCACACATTCAATACAAAAGGAGGTCGGCCACAATTTGCATGTGCCTGTATGACATCATAGTTTCCAGGGAGGCGGTTATAGATTTGCCTAAAAGACAAAACCCCATGCCTGCTCTTTTCAGATGCACATATTAATTGTGTTCAGCACACGGTGTATATAGTTATCCTTGACCGGGATCATTTGAGCGATTCGGAGTTGAGAGAGGCCAGTGTCTTATTTTTACTTGCCTAACCGGTATTTCTTATTTTTGTGCCAAATTCATGCTCCAGCGTAGGACTTGTGAATGGGGAAGTGCATGACATCTGGTTAGGTGGTCCCTGAGGACTGGGAATTAGGTAAGGTGTATACACAGAGGGGCAGTCCAGACAGGTGAGAGAGGGATTATACCGGCAGCAGGGATTGCCTGTCTGTACTACTCTCTGCTGCATTCTCAGGTTTCTCTTCTTTAATTACTGTCTGCTTGGCCCCTTTCGACTTCCATAGGCCCGTTCGGGCTCCTGTCGCCGTGTGCGTCATTCCCGGTTTCTTTTCTTTCTCATGTCATCAGTTTATTCTTTGGGGACATGATGTAACAGAGTGAAAAAGCAGCACACACTTATAGTTTAGTCTGCTCTTCCTCTGACACTACGTGACTCTCCTGGCAGAAAGTTCCCTGAAAGTAGCAAATAGAGACTGGATATCGGTGAGCCTACATCCTAACCCTCTTCTCTTGAATTGCATTGGAACTGTACTGTCTCCTTTTATATTGTAAAGTGCTACGCCAACTGTTGGCGCTATATCAATCCTGTATGAGGATGATGATAATAATTTATCTGTTTAGTGTGTTTATCTAATCCTTTGCTATGACCCTTTTTTTTTTTTTCCTCCCGACAGGTCTGTTGTTTTGGAATAGACATCGCTGTTTGTTGGAACTTGGGGTAGGATGGCAAGTGCGGGCCCAGCTACCTCCACTTCTGCGGAGAATTCTGGCCCTGGAGGAGCCAGTGGGAGCAGTAATGGAGAGGGAAGCAGCCAAGACAGCACATTTGAGTGTAACATCTGCCTGGACACAGCCAAGGATGCAGTGATAAGCTTGTGTGGCCACCTCTTCTGGTAAACAATGCACAATACTGATTATTATACACATAATAGAACACCATTTACATTCTTTATTGCCTGATAGAAGTAAAATATTTAGCACACACATCATGAAGCTCTCAGGTGCAGGGCCCTCCTAACCATCTTGTCTTGATTTGTATTGTAACTGTAATGCCTTCCTTATATTTGATATATAATCTTGTATAGCAATAGCCATTTTGAATTTACCTGTGAGGTGAGAAGTATGGGAGATGCTATTTCTGTCCTGGAAAAAGCATGCATTCAGTGAAGAGGGAAAAAGTCTGAACTCCCACATCCGTCTATACTTGTTATAGGTCTGTGACTCTCTAGGTAGTGAATGCAGGAATAAGGCGATATCCCCAGGGCCTGCACTAGTTAACAAGTCGAATGTGCAGTTGCTGACAGATCCTTGTGAAAATTGCTAGTTCCCTGGCTGTCAGCTTGATCTAACACGGGGGTGGGCAACTCTGGCCCTTCAGCTGTTGTGGAACTACAAGTCCCAAGAGGCATTGCAAGACTGATAGCCAGAGGCAAACACATTATGGGATTTGTAGCTTCACCACAGCTGGAAGGCTGGAGTTGGCGACCCCTGATCTAATGGCTTCAATACTTTGTGAGTCACTGACCCAAACAGTTATACCTATCAGGGTTCGTGACTTCATTCTGACGTCCATGAGCTGCTTGCTTTTTCTAGGTCAGTGATTCAGATAGTAGTGAATCTAGAGGCAGCCGGACAACTAGCATTTTCAACAATAGCAGACTTCTTGTAGTACAGAAACAGGGGGTGTGGCAGCTCCTTTTGCTTTAAATCCATGAAAAAGAAAGGTATGGGGAGTATTGTCACGGGGGTAGACACAAGGTATTAGCTTTTCAGTACTGTACAGGTTTATATTCCAGTAGATTGTCTATTCAGTGCCTATTGTGATTAAATAAAAAAGGAAAAGTTTGGTGTTTTTAAAATGTGCATTTATAGTCAGACTTTATAGAAACAGTTTGCCCTACACTGCTCGTCCTGCTCACTCGGCTGATTAGCGAGCTGTGGTTGGCCCTGCCACCACCATCATCCAGCTTGATAGAAGTCAATAATTCAGTTGACTTTTGTGCCTTTGGGAAAACTGTCGGCCTCATAATATACTGCTTCATAATATAAAAACATCTATGTTCTGGTGCTATCTAATATGTTCTGGTGCTATGTAATATTTTGTGGTGGTACATAATCTAAGAACATATATAAAAAGTCCCAGCAGTTGATCCCCCCATTATGTTTTGTTCGTTGGTACTATGGTTATTAAAGGATGTAGTGTGTTAATGCTTTAGTTTGATGCAGCCATATTGGAAAATTTGTAAATAAATAAAAGATATTGAATAAAGTAACATTTTACACTGCTAATATATACTTTTCTCTTTTGTTCTGTCTTTTAGCTGGCCGTGCTTACATCAGGTAAGTGGCCTATTCATGATCAGTCTGTAAAGTGCATGTGTTGTACACACTATGGGGTTTTCATTCTGTTTAATATGACTAGTTGTTGCCTGTGCTTGTATATATACTGGAGTTGGTTTAGAATTAAGCTTTTCCCCCCAGTTGTCAGATTTTATTGGCGCAAATGTTACTTGTATCATCCAATAGTCTTTTATTATGGTCAGTCTAAAAAATGCCGACTGGTCAGTCAAACTGTGCTCCATTGTTGATAAAGTAGCTACACAGAATCGCAAGTTTTTTTTCCCATTTTCATAAATGAGCCAAGCTATGTGTATTGAGATTTTCTGTGTACAGCAGGGATGGGCAATCTCAGCCCTCCAACTGTTGTGGAACTACAAGTCTCAAAAAGGCATTGCAAGACTCTGGCAGCCATAGGCATGACTCCCAGAGGCAGATGCATGATGGGGACTTGTAGTTTTCCCACAGTTGGGGTGCAGAGGCCGCCTTTCTCTGGTGCGAAATGATCTATAGGTGTCATATAACCTTCACCTCGTGGTTTTCTCTATAGTGGTTGGAAACGCGGCCTAACCGCCAAGTTTGTCCTGTGTGTAAAGCTGGAATCAGCCGTGATAAAGTCATCCCTTTGTATGGAAGAGGAAGTACAGGGCAAGAAGACCCTCGGTAAGGAGGCATATGAATTGATGTATTTACATTTTCTGTTCATATTTATATAGATATGGCATGGAAAAAAAATAATATATATATGTGTGTGTGATATATATATATATATATATTATATTTGTAATGCATTGCTGCTGCCTTTTTGGCCTGATCGAAACCGTTTTTTCCCCATAGTGAGAAAACGCCCCCACGTCCTCAAGGGCAGAGACCGGAGCCAGAGAACAGGGGGGTGAGTATAGAGTGAGGGAATAACGACTGTACAGTGTGTGTCACATGATGAAATGATTGCTTCTGAGCTGTAATTCTTTGTGGTCTCCCGGGATTTGCTAGTTATCACATAACAAGCTTCCCGCGAGCAAAACTAATTAACAATAACAAGCTGACGCAGGCCGCGCAGCGCTTCCTTGCATTCAGTTTGTTTTTAAATTTGCAATTGGTCACTTTCTGCTTTTGCAAATTTGATCTGCCACTTCTAAAACCTCACACACACTCATGTGTGGCTTTTAACTTTAAAGCAGCTCTTCATATAGAACTTCTAGTTTCTTTAGGTAAAATTTGCAAACTTAATTAATAAAATAGCACAAGGGAAAATCATTTGCATTATATATAGACTTACTAATCGCATTTCATTCATTTAATGCACTCAGACAAAACTATTGTATCCAGGGGTGTCCCTAGATGTCCTTAAGCATGAGGCGGGGGGACGGGACGGACGTTTGCTCATGATGCACGTTCCAGGGGGTTTAGGTGCTCTTTGTGCATATTGGGGGGTGGGAGATGTGTTTACAGCTTGTGCGGGATGTTCTAGGGAGGTGAAGAGATTGGGGTTCGGCTCCTGGTGCACAGCGTCCTGTCCAGCTTGCTGACTTCACTGGTTGCTGGGTGAGAGTGTCCCGCTCAGCTCCAGGCAATCAATGACGTTCGTGCGCTGGGCAGGACACCGGCCGGAGCGCCAAAGGTTGCTAAGAGCCCTTAGCAACCTGGGATGCTCAGGCCGGAAAGGAGGCCGCAGGCACACCTGCTACAAGAAAGCACTATCAGAAAGCAATATACATTTTATTAATAATTATTTGGGTATAGTGTTGCATGGCAGAGTAATTGTCAAAGCTTTACTGCACTGAAAAATATCCTGGACATGAAAGGGGTTTAATGTCTCGGTCCTCTAGTGGTTAAGAAAAGTATATTTATTAGAGGTTGGATTGTGAAGCTTTGGACTTCTATGGGTGTATTTTAAAAAGGGGGAGAACAAGCTGCATCCACGGTTCCATGCCAGTTGGCATGCATGGCAAGTAAGGGTGTAAACCCACATACTGCCTACACCCATTCACTACTATGGCCGGCTGTACACCGCAGCTGGTTATCCTGGGCACACAAATACACCCCCCGAATATGTTCTGCAGCCTCATGCACACATGTGTATCCTTGTTTACAGCTCCTTTTTATCTTTTTTAATAGTGCATACTGTACATTTTCTATACAGATAACCTGTCAGACATTTTAACAGTTTGATCCTGTGCATCCTTTGAATGCTTGTTTCAAAATGCTGACGTCCCTGTCTTTAGGGCTCAGCCCCAGCCACCATCCCCCTGTCCAGTGAGAGCACTTTTGTGGTAATAAGGTGCCTGCTTACTTCACATGGAGGTGACTGCTTGATTTAAGGTAGGAAAGTTGAGCCCTTGGTAACAAAGTGAAACCAAAATTATGCGGTCTCAAAGAAGTGGGTTGTCTGGATAACCAAGGTAATAGCTGGTATCTTGTACCATGTCCTCTTAGGCAGGGTTTTCTTTTAGCTTTCCAGTGCGATGAAGCATTTCTGACAAGCTATTTTTATGTTCTTTTTATGTGCCAATTCATTCTAATCCTCATAGGCCTGTTTCCATCTTCATAGGGTTTTCAAGGATTTGGATTTGGCGATGGTGGATTCCAGATGTCTTTTGGAATAGGAGCATTTCCCTTTGGAATGTTTGCCACGGCATTCAACATTAATGACGGTCGTCCTCCACCAGGTATCACACATTTCTCTCCTCTTTTGGCTCTACATTTAGTACACCTTTTTATGCTTTTTTATTTTTTACTTAGAATTGCTTTTTTCAGTTTTAGACATTTTCACCATAACCAAATATGGTCTGCTTAGCAGCTTGTGCAGCCATTTGCCGTCTCTGCGGGTTTACATCCATAGACGGCCATAAATATCTGTATATGGGCTTCAGCATGGAAAATATTCTCTCTGTAGGCTTCATGGCCTATATGGAAGTCAGTTTGAGTTGCACTGCTGTAGCAGCTGCACATGCTAAGATGCTGGATGGCTGAAAGAAAGAGAGCGACTTTGGTCTATGAGAGATGGTTAGTTGAAAGCTCTCTTTGATTGCCTGGGTTGATGCCATTTTGCCCCAGAACTGACAAACTTTACTTTTTCTCTTGATTCTTCCCATACCTTAATACTCTTTCAAAATCTTTAGGAATGGAAATTGCTTATACAGGTCAAAATAATAGTTTTGTTTTAATGCCACCCTTCCCCAGCAACTCGCCTTTCTTTTGCTCCCTTGTGACTCCTTTTAGCTGCTGGGGGCGCAGAAACAATATGGTGGGTCTTCTAAGTATGGGGTAGCTTGGGTAGTGGTCCAGCACTGTCACATAGTGGTTTTCATTTACTGCCTTTAGTGGCTGAACTGAGTGGCAGGGGAGCAAAGCAAGGATGAGTATTTTCTGCTGGGGATTAAAGTTAAAAAGGCAAGGCAAGTTTCTTTTAAATGTAAAAGGTAGTTTGTATTCCAGTTTATTCAGCAAATTTTACTAGGGAACAATGATCTATGGTTCTTTCAAGTGTTTTGTGCTCATACACAGACATGGAAGCATAAAGTCCCTTGATATCATCAAATTATAATCTTAGTATGATTTTGTAGTTTAACTTTTAATTACAAATTTTGTCTCATCCATAACACTGTTGTGTTTTTACAGCAGTCCCTGGAACACCTCAGTACGTCGATGAGCAATTCCTGTCACGGCTATTCCTTTTCGTTGCCTTGGTCATAATGTTTTGGCTTCTGATCGCTTGAAAGTCTCCTGGCATCCAATGGGTGGCACTAAGGACTGGGTGCTCTTCACGAAATATACCCCAATCCCTGACATATCCTAACCTGGACTTTACCCTCTATCCTCCCCTGGCCTCTGATGTGCTACTCTACAGCCAATGCCCTTTAGCCGATGGCTGTTTGAAAACAGAGAACAAGAAGCACAATAGTATTAATGGCTATGGAGGTGCAGTTCCAGCGCAAGATGTGATTGAAAGCATTCATTTATTTGGCCCTGAGAAATGTGATTATAACTTGATTAAATGGTAGCTGTGTGAACTTACTGGATATGTGAGCAACATGGTCAGAAAAACAAGAATCAAAAGCACATGAGGTGTAGGGAATGCAAAGAAAAGGCAATACGAGCAGAATGCACTGCAGATAATCCCCAACAACTGACAAATACAGAAGTTCTAGGAACACAGAGCTTTGCTGCAGTTGTGTATAATACACTGCTGAAACATTGACGGGCACATACTCTGTTTGATTTGAGAAGATAGAAAGAAGAAATAAAAATGTCTAGGATTCCAGGGGGCACCGGGGCACTGAAGAAATTGGTAAAAAAAGAAAGGGCTAAGTATCTGGGGTACAGAGAGAATTATTTTTGGAGAACATGCACAGAGGACTGAATATGCCTTGCTATCTTGGCTATATGTATATATTCTCTTTGTGCTTTGGACTTTGGGTGGAATGGGAAGATGCTAATTCCTCAATTTTATGAGATTTTATCTTTACTGTGATTAAATGTTAATTTGAACATATTCCTGGCTGCATTTTATTTTCAGGTTACAAAATTAATCTCTTACAAAGCATTTTAAATATAAAGAACAGAATAGATATTGAACCTATTTGTTAAACTGTATTGTACATGGCAAACAGATGTATTTTTTTATTTGCCTGTAGCAAATATGGACATTTTTTAGAATCTGTTTTGTTGCTCTGAGCAACACAGTTTGATAAACGAGAGCCAATACACTCTGCCATTAGTAGTATGATACAAGGAGACATCAAAAATGAACTCGTGAGGTTATGGATGCTTCGAGGGTGTTTGTTGCCTTGAAAAGCACTTTCAACTATATCTATATGAGTGAATATCAGCTTTGCAAACAGTTTGCCTCTCAAATTTGAGATTGGTAATATAACAAAAGTCACAAGTGACTCGTGATTAAGCCTGATATTCATGGTCAGAGACATTTTAGTAATGCAGTGACCAAAATGCTTCATTCACTGAGGCTCGAGCCTTAAAAATGGGACTTGTGTTGGTCCTGTTCTTATGAAACTTAAATTGACACCAAACTCAGGAGTTAAATCTTAAAAATACATTAAAATACCTTTTAGGTATTAACAAAAATGTATGTTATTTATGTATCGCTCAGCTGTAGTTCCACAAATCATCTCTGAATTGGTGCTGACACCTGTCCTTCTGGAGGGTGGCTACTATTGTTCCCAATGGTGTGTGTGTGTGTGTTGCAAAGCTGCCACCGCTCCTAGCTCACTCCTGTGATGGACTACAATCTCAATACAAATTAGTAAACTAAACCCGAGATTGTAGTCCATCACTTCTGGAGGGTGGCTACTTTTGTTCCCAATGGTGTGTGTGTGTTGCAAAGCTGCCACCGTTCCTAGCTCACTCCTGTGATGGACTACAATCTCAATACAAATTGGTAAACTAAACCTGAGATTGTAGTCCATCACAGGAGTGAGCTTGGAGCGGGGGCTACTTTACAACACACACAGGGACCATGAGGAACAAAAGTAGCCACACTCCAGAAGGAAGGACAGTGTCAGCACCCATTCAGAGATGATTTGAGGATCAAATAAGATACGTTTTTGTTAACAGATGGGGTCCTTGAATGCATTTTTAAGATTTAACTCCAGAGCTTACTGTCACTTTACAAAGTAATTGTTCTCTGTGGAATTCTACCTTTTGTCCATTAGGGGGCACTCAGAGCAAGAACTTACTACACTGCTTATATTAACCTTCAAATTGGTGTACAACTCTACAAGTTGCTGTACAGATAGTAAAAAAAAAACCACATAAAACAAAGACAAGTATATACAGTTGTAAGGTGAAACCTGGAATGTGGCATGCCTAGAGTATTTGACACCTTCCAGTGATTTTTGTTTTTAACACCCTCTGCTCTATATGGCAAAATGTATTTTCAGTAAATTAAATGTATAATAATTATGGCCAGACATTAAATTGGAGTTTTTCTTTTTACATTGGTGGTCAATGAAAATGTGCCCCTTAAATTTCTGGTAAGGGGGAGCAGGACATCCTTACTTTAGTGGGCAGTGGGAGAAGGGCTCCCTCACCTTAGTGGGCAGTGGGAGAAGGACACCCAATTGTGGTTAGTGGGATAAATGTCTCTTACATTAATGGGCAGTTGAATGAAAGTCCAGTTACATTGTGAGTCAGTTGGAAGAAGGCTCTATTACTGGGGGCCAGTGGAAAGAATGCTCCATTACTGGGGAACAATGAAATGAAAGCCTACCCCCCCCCCCCCCCCCCCCCCAACAGACAACTAAAAAAGATAATTGCTGTCACTGGTTACTTACCTAAAATAGACCTAAGGTTCCATTGGTCCCACTCTGTTTGCTTTGCTAAGTGACATTAATGCTGGATCCAAGCAGGCACTGTCAGGAGGGAGATCAATCTGCCATGCCTCAGTCATCAAGGAACACCTAGCACCTTCTGAAGGAAGCCTAAGATTCCACATAATCTTAAGGAAGGCAACCCTAAAGGCATAAAGGGTAGAGACAAGAGGTATGGGAATGAGTAAACGGTATAGAAAGTGACAGTGGGTTCTTTACAGTGGCGTAACCAGAGTTCTGGGCGCCCGGGGCAGAAATGTTTTTTCGCCCCCCCCCCATTATATAAACAACCACTGGAACTGTACCCTGCACCTCCCCTCCACACACACATGTTTTTATTTTAATTTTTCAAATTTTAATATTTTTTTTTTTTTGAACTTTTTCATTTTTTTAAATCAATTTTTATTAATTAATTTTTTATTAAATATTTTTATTTTTTACTTTACTTTTAGGGGCTTCGGGGAAATATTGGGGGTCTAAACAGACCCCTGATATTTCCCTTTAAAAATAGAAAAAGAGATTGAGGACACAGAGTCCTCAATCTCTTTTTCTGTGTCCCCTGTTATCAATGAACAGGAATCCTTTATGAGTGTTCCTGTTCATTGATAACATGGTATGTTTACTATAACTACAATTATGAATGAACAGGAGGAGATGTAGATCACTCCCATTCATTCATAATTGAGGATATAGTATACATACCAGGTCCTCAATTATGTACAAACACTCAGCGATCACTGATCACTGAGTGCTTGTACCCGTTCTCCTCTCTGACACACACTGTCATAGGAGGCTGCAAGAGGAGAGCCCAGCCTCCTGTGACAGCGCTGGCTGTCTCCGCCCCCACACCGCTCTGCTGCACTGTGATAGGCGGCCGAGCGGTGTGGGAGGAAAGACACCGGCCGCTCACAGCGCTCGTCCCGCAGCGCTCGGCCGGCTGTCATTTTCTCTCTGATTCCTTTCATCCCTGCTGGGCACTGCTCTGTGTCCCAGCAGGGATGAAAGGAATCACGGCCGCGCCGACAAAACGGCAGGAAAATGTCACTTTCGGCATTTAGCCGAAAGTGCCATTTTCGGCCGGCGCCCCCCCTTCACTTTTCGCCCAGGGCCCGCGCCCCTGCTGCACCCCCAGTTGTTACGCCACTGGTTTTTTATCAGTTGCCTAGTGGAAGAGTAAGGCTGCATCCACATTGGGTGTTCTGGGGAACCTGTGGCAAGAACCCACAGATTATTGTGCCAGGAATCCCAGGTGTCCCTGTTCAGATGTGGCCATTGTGCCCGTTCAAGGTAGTGGCAGGGTGACAACGGTGGCACCTGTCAGCAGCAGTCCACATGCAATCGTACATTATATGCTTACATGCAGTTTGCGATAGATTGTCCCTGGCCGCATCTCTCCTGCTTCCAGCGACAATCATCTTTTATGAGCCGCAGGACTTGTTCCATGTACAATTACATGCGCACTGCCCCGTATGGCAACCATCTTTTTTTGTTTTTTGATGGGTTTCCTTAAAGGGTACACTTGAAAGTTTGAAGGGTTGGTTAGTTCCTTGCAGCAAGGGAAGGGGGACCTTTAGGCTGGATTCACACCTGGGCGTAGCATGGGCACGTTTTTTTTCTGCTTGTTTTTCCGTTCATTGGCACGTTTTTCTGTTCATTGAAACACGCGTTTCACTGGCGGTATGATTTGTTTAAAAAAAATGTCCTTTTATTTTCTCTATTTTATTTTTTTAAATCTTTTTTACTTTCAAACTTCCCGCCGGTTCCGCCCCCCTGCGATACGGCTGCTCATCAGCACGTTTCCACGGGCTGGAATACGCCCAGGTGGTAACCATGCCCATAGGGAAGTATGGGATTTCACTGTTCGATCAGCGCTGTAAAACGCCCAGGTGTGAACCCAGTCTTAGAGAAGGGGTGAGGCTCCTATAAAGCCTGGGATATGCGAATTTGAGAAGTACCTGGAGCATAGAAGGGAGGCTGCATTTCGAGTCTTCTCTATTTCAAGTGACATTGGTCATTTTATAAACTACAGGAATGATTGAGGGCCTATTACAAGAAATATAGTAATAGGCCCTCAATCATTCCTGTAGGCACTGACATTCACACATAAGAGACATTAGCTTTCTTTCCATGTAAACAGAAGCTAAACCAAACCTATAGATATGGGAGGGTTTTAACCCAACATTATCTTGAGTATACAGTTCAGTTTTGGTCAACAATCCTCAGGAAAGATTTTCTTGAACTAGAGAAAGTCCAGAGAAGGGCAACAAAATTAATAAGTGAGATGGAGGGCCTAAGTTATGAAGATCACTACTACAGAAATTAAACTTGTTCTCCCTAGAGAAGAGACACCTAAGACGGGATATGATTGCACTTTACACGCTGATCAATAAGGACTGCAGTATCAGGAATAAACACAACAAGCAATTGGATGACATGGGATTTGATATACAGTAGTTTGTGTCCTCCCGTTACCCTTAGGAGAACTATGGGGAAAAGCCCTAACCCCATAGTTCTCCTTTAAAGTGCATGTCAAGGGAAAATTAAAACACCATTCCACCATTCCCCTTGTTTTAACCTTTTAAAGACTGCAAGTGCAGAAATATACCCATTGATCTGCCAGAAATGCACTCAAGTCCTGTTGAAGGCATACAAAGCACAGCTTTTTTTTTTTTTTTTGGATGGAGTAGTAATGCAAGAACTAGGAGAGCTATATAACCTCTGAGAATTTCTGACAAGATCAACAGTTTTTCTCACGTATTGAACAGAACTAACAAAATGCGTTCACAAAGAATTGTGTCACTTTCCCCTAAAGTCAGCTCACCTCTAAGGGACATGTATTTTTTTGTTCAGATATCCTAACCCAGTAAGATCTGGT